GGCACAATTTACAACAAAGAGTGTCCCTTTTATTCATTGTATCTCGCTATAAAGTAACACGCGGATCTCGTTGTGGAGCGCGAAAAATCTCTCACGTTACAATTAATTTCTTTTGACCCTTTTTCCAGCCCTCCTCCATTCGTCTACCATGCACACGACGAGCTCTTATAAAGCTTCTAAATTGCAACGATTATCACGCGCTTGATAAATAATAAGCGATCTCTTCACCCCTGTAACCGTAAATTGTTTCTAAACTGATCGACGATGCAACGAAATCGGGCATTAATTAAAAGAGAATACGAATTTTATCACGATTTTCTGTAGTTTTTTTTTTTTTTTTGATTTTATTATTAATTAATTCGATCAGTATCTGTCTATATTTGCACAATCAACGATGAGCCGTTTACGATTGGATGGTTATCTTTTTCTTTTTTTTCTTTTTTTTTTTTTTTTTCTATTGTTCGATTACACCATTTCAGCGGCTCAATGTTTTTCCATCCCAATAGCCCGTATCAATGGAATATTTTTTTTTTCTTTTCGTACCATTTCGACACATATCGTTAAATATTTGCTTTTCATTTATTGAACGAGTTAACGCGACTGCGTGCATTGAAATAAGCAAACAGATATATCTCATATTTATTTGCATCAATTGAACATGCGCAAACGTTTAGATATAATAATAATGATTTATTAATTCACCAGTGTATAATGCAATTTTTTTCCACCGACTATATCCATTATTAGTTCCTAATACTTATTAGTGCATCGATTCGAAGAATCGCGTTTCATTTTTTAATTTTTGAAAATCCGATAAGACGAAGAATTTATTCAAAATCACATCGTAAATAAATAACGAAGATCTATTTTCCAGCTGTTTGTTTTAACCCATCCACCGTTGCACGCATCGCGCATGCAATAAATCTAGAATTCATATCTATCATCCTAGTTTAATTTATTTATTTTGCGTTTCATCATTCACGATACACAGAAATTGGCGACCAAATATCTATTCTAATCCCTAATTAAGATTGTATACCAATCGTGCAAAAATTAAATCGTTAAATCAATAATTCAACGTAAAATGGAATATATGAAATATCTATGAATAAAATAAGATAAAAGAAGATAAATATTTCGAAGGATCTTACGAAATACCAGAAATCATCTTCATCTCGGTCCTTTTTTTTTTTTTATATAAGTATAAATCGCGGTGAACGTATGCAATCGAAACGATCTTTATAAGCGATCTTCGTCGCCCCTACAAAACGACGTGGTGAAGAAAAAGGCAAAACGCGACTATCTATTTAATTTGCGCTTAACAAAATCCTTTCTTCCTATTTTCTTTTACAGTTACGAAGTAGTCGTGTTCGTATGAAAAGCAGCGGCTTTCCTCTTAATCCTCGTCACTTCGTCGTTCCCCATCTCGAGAGAATAATGGATGTGTACCAATGTACCCAATCTCTCGATTCGAAAATACTTAAATATTTATTTCGCTTTGAACGAGAATTTGAATTCGATGACAATTCGATGATTGATAGTCGTATACGTTGATAACATGAATCGTATAAAAATTCGAATTCGATAAAAGATATTCCACGCAATTTGAAAGGAAAGAAATCCACTAAAATTGTGTGACGTCGATGTCGCTTCCGACCGACTCATAAAAGGTATTCTATCAAAAAGTCTCAAATAAGATTAAAGTCGCCAAGCTTTTAACCGTTTCGAGGAATAAGTTTAGAAGAAGGGAAGCCAAGGGATGCATTTACGGTCGACGAATCCGGAGCAGGCAGGCGATTTTTTTAAACGCGCGAGGGTCACGAGAAGACAAAGGGGCGCGGCCGGAAATGCAGATGGTCAAAAGAGTGGAGATAAGACGCGACCAGTCACGCAATTAAGGGGAAACAAAAGGGGCGACCCTCTTCTCGTCGCGAAAATGCCTCCGTGTTTCTCTTAATTCCTTTTCCTTTATCTTCGCTCCGCCTCGTGTCCACGTGCATATACGGTATATATATGCCCCTCCAGCCTTTCACAAATCACGATTAACTTTTCGCTTAATCTTTTTTGCTCCGAGTTGCGTCTTAAAAAGAAAAAATTCCTCGCTTTTGCCTCGTTTTTTCGTTTCTCGCCATCTCGCATCCGGAAAATCGTTCCACCAAAGAATTAAAGTCGATGCGAAAAGACACGAGGCGATTTTCTCCCCTCCCCCTTTCTTAATCCCCTCCTCGATAAGTATTTCTTTTACTCTCTCTCTCTCTCTCTCTCTTTCGCAACGGATTTTTAGAAATCCTTTTCACGGATTAATTTCTAAACGGTATTAATCCGCTGTTGAGAAGTCAAGGAAACTCTTGAAACTTTTAATTTCATCAAATTTCTCGTTTATAAATTTGAAACAAATTTTGTATCAACTACATAAGTAGATGAAGAAGATCCAGAAGAATTAATGAAATCTTCATCTTCCAATCAATTTCAGTTTCGAAACTGATTTGCACACTATTTTTTTAATTCTACGCAGAAGAACATTTTAAAACGGTTATTGGTAACCATCGATAGATATCTAAGGATCGAAGGAGCAAATGATTTCGATGCACTGTGTTTCCAATCCATGGAAATAGTAGCGATAGTACTCTCTCTCCGGTGGAATTTATAGGAGGATATTACCAGAGCATTATAAATTAATAGCGGTGACAAAACTATTTGCACGGTTGATTAATATCACGATTCGTAATTTAGAGATAACAACGAATGCGGAAACAGTTCGTGATCGCTTTTCAGCGGCCATTTAAAATAATTGTCGCGGGAACGATACGCATTCATTCACACGCGAGAAGATTGAATTTCGATTCGAGCCTATCCGCGCTTTCTCTACGAAAACGTAAAATTCACATTCAATGAAATTACATATCTCCACGCTTGTTGGACAATTATGGATAAATTCATTTGCGATATATATATATATGAAAATCGGAGGGGAGGGAATCGAATTCAATCCCCATCGTTTCAGTATTATTTTATAGAAATACACGGGGTAAACTCTGGATGCACGCTGTGGGTTATACGTATGGGTATCAACTCGGATCGCTTCCTTCTGTTTCGCTAATTCCATCGCATGCCGCCAATTATCATATTTATAAAACTGCCCTGTTCCATATTCAACCGTGGAAATTGCCAGCGAAACGAAGAGGAGCGTGATTAATTTTTAACCTAGATTCTCTTTTTTTTTTTCAATTCTAATTCTCAAAATACCGAAATATCGCAATTTTATTTAAAACACGCGCCAACGAGACTAAGAAATCGAAATTTTTGTTTTAGTAAATTTCGTATCAAGGGGAAAGGAGAAATATAATTGGAGAGGTAAACAAAGAGATAAATCTTTTAACGAAAAAGAAAAAAGAGAGAGGAAATCCTTTGATCGAAGTTAAAACGACGAACGTTTACAAGACAAAAGCTCCTCGTCAAGATTTTATCGAGTTTTTCACGAGGAAGAAGAAGAAGAAAAAAAAAAAGATTAAAAGCGGTTTTACGAGCGATCCTTTGAAGATTGAAATTCTTCCACATCTGTTTATCTAAATTTAAAACGATCTTAACGAGATCGGAGCTGAAACAAGCTGGTTTTTCGTAAGACGCCTTCCAACGCCTTGATTTCGTTACGTGGAAATAACGGTTTCAACCGTGATTCGCCGTGAAATTCGCCGTATGTAAAAGCATCCATCCTTTCGCCAGACGAGAAATCTCGTCAACGTAATTTCCATACTGTCGTGTTGCGCGCAATTTATAGCGTGAACCGATCCCCGAGCTATTTAAATTGGATCGGCCGGTAGTGTGTCGGTAAATGTGGATTATACTCGAGATTAATTCGTGAAAATACACTTATACGTGATGATATATATATATATATA